TTTTTCCAGTAATGTTGCTTTTTTGGAGCTTTTTCCACAGACCAACTCTCCATACAGAATCGAACGCCTTACTAAAATCGATGAACGTACAATAAAGTTTTTTTCCTAATGAAAAATATATTGAGATTAAAGAATACAATACAAACATGTTATCGGTTGTAGAATGACCCTTTCTAAACCCAGCTTGTGCACTGCTTATCAGGTCAAATTCGTCAGAAATTTTATTTAAACGATTATTAATAACCGAAGTGAAAACTTTGCCAAGGCACGAGACTAAAGTGATCGCTCTATAATTATCCGGATCTTTTGGATCGCCTTTGTTTTTATATACTGGTTTTATAATACCGATCTTCCACACATCTGGTATAGACGCAGTATTCAGAATAAGGTTAAATATTTTTTGATAAATTGGTAAAAATACATCCATTGTACTTTTTAGATATTCATTTAGGATTTGATCTATACCAGAGGCTTTACTATTCTTCAAATTGATTAAAGAAAATTTAATTTCATCAGTGGTAATTTCACCATTCAGATAATCATCAAAAATACTATTATCAGGATTTTCCTCGATCAGAATCAAATGTGACCTCAGGTGAATGGTCAATGTATTATCACTGCCTAGATTCTCAGGTATATAGATATCATATTGAAAGAAATGTATCTGTCAGCGGGTGGTCATGTTGCCCTATACCTTAAACAAGGGACAGGTCATTACCACATGGCCAGCTGCAGCTGTATGCCTGCTATTTAAATTACCCCTAATATAAGACCTAGCTGCTGGTGTGGGGAACACACATTAGGCCCATGGGAGGAGGGCTGTTATGTCCATGTATGTGTAAACCGTAATTTTTGTGGGGGGTTTTCCCTTCAGACTATTATGATAGTTGGAATAATTTTCACGTAATGCGGTTTATAATAATTGTTTTTNTATAAATACCTTTTTAAGTGTTGTGGTTTTTCAGTGATGTCATCCCATTACTCAAAATCACGAAACCGAGCCCTGTGAACGTCGTCTGCTATCGATGCTAATCTGACCGATTAGATATGGAATCTATTTCAAACGAAATGTCCTTGGAATCGTTATCACCTACTGAAAGGACCACATTAATTAAACATTTCCGAGTATATATGCTTCTGAAAATAACGTAATATTCCAGTCGAAGGAAACATGAGCGTTTCCGAGGAAACAATCAAGTCCGTTCAGCGCCGCATCACTTCAAAATACCTGTAATCTGTCAATGCGCGAAAAACAGCTTTAATTTTAAACAAGCAGAGGTTATGCAATTATTAACAATTTTTCGACATGAACACACTCATATGAAAAAAATAATAAAGTTAAGTTTGTGTTCAAACCATTTAATGTGCGTGTGGTTTTCAATGACACGAGTGACTATATTATTTCTTCTGGAAACGTCGGCTGTTCTGGGATTTGAACTTACTGACGTCACTGATATGATATGCGGGAAATTCAAACGTATTTTTGCTTCAGTTACTTTACAAAACAAACTATATACATATAAATGTAAATATAAGCATTGAACTGTTACCAGATGCAGTATACACTCGATATGAATGCAATTTGGGTGACAAATAAATAGAATATCGCCCGTTAAGCGATACTAAAATACTGTTCAATTGATATTTAGTTTGGTAATGTAGTGAAAAAGCCTGGTGATTGGTAATACATTTGAATATCACCATCTTACACTGATATTTTAAAAGTCATTAACCATTGTGCAGGCAACACCAACTAAAATATTTACTTCCACACCACAACAGCCTCTCACGGCGGCCTAATCCCACACTGAGATAGATAAAAGCCTCTCACGGCTGCCTATTCCCACACTGAGATAGATAACAGCCTCTCACGGCGGCCTAATCCCACACTGAGATAGATTACAGCATATCACGGCGGCCTAATCCCACACTGAGATAGATAACAGCCTATCACGGCGGCCTAATCCCACACTGAGATAGATAGCAGCCTATCACGGCGGCCTAATCCCACACTGAGATAGATAACAGCCTATCACGGCGGCCTTATCCCACACTGAGATAGATAACAGCCTATCACGGCGGCCTAATCCCACACTGAGATAGATA